ATTTTGTATAAGACCCTGCTCACCCATGGTCACACTGAAGATCAGGATTTTCTTGGAAAGACGGGGGGGTTGCCCTCAGAACATCTGCCCTGTGAGCTGAGCCTGACACTCCAGCCAGGACTGTGTGCCACATGGCCAGCTTGCAATGATCAGCTGACACACAAGCAAGGATTTCAGCTTTAGCACACACATTGCTGTGGTCTCAGGTTATCTCTACATATGATTCGTGAACCACTTCACTACTAAATCCCATTAGCAGTACATTTACATGTCAATTTTGTCTTCCTCACAGTCCAAACACTGTTTTTTCCATCTGTATTTCTACCATATGGTAGTCCTTGCAGGCTTACATTGTAACTGAGCATATAACCCTACTGTTAATGTTCATACATGCTTCCCTGGACACAAGTGTTGAACTGAAATTCTGCTTATCATATACAAACAAGAGGCTTTTTTCTAGTATTTGTATGAAAAAATTACTTTTCATTTCCAGGTAACTAGTTAGTAGCTATTTGTGAGTCAGCAGGCATCTCCTCCAAGTATTTGGTAAATAGTAGTTTACATCTCAAAAACACCACTGAAGCCTTTAAAAATGCCTTTAAGTGTGAACCTACATTTATTTTTCACTTGTCTTTCATTAGCTGGAGTAGTTCCCTGTGGTGGTTTCACTTGGCTATCAGCCAAACACAGCCACTCACTCATTCTCCCTTCCCCTCTGCCCAGGGAATAAGGGAGAGAATTGGAGGGGTAAGGATAAGGAGACTTGTAGGTTGAGATAAGAACAATTTAATAATTGAAATAAAATAAAACTTTAAATAATAATTATATTAAAATAATAATAAAATATTCAAATGAATGATACACAGTGCAATTGCTCACCACCTGCCCACCAAGCCCAGCTCGTTCTCGGATAAGGATCCTGGAGGAGTGACAATCCCGAAACCAAAACCACAATCCCAGAAAAGTCAAAGCCCGAGCAACAGCCAGAGAGAGACCCCCCCATAAGACAGAGATCCAGAGAGATAGAGACCCTCATTAAGATACTGAACATGACATTATATGATATGGAATATCTCATTAGCCTATCCAAATGCTTACTAATTTTAATATTACTTGCCTCCCTAGACCTTGTACCTGTGGACTAGCAAAACCAAAGTCCTTCAACTTCCAGCAACAATTAAAAACATTAGTATGTTATCAATGTTCTTCTCATACCAAATCCCATACTCAAACCAAAACACAGCGCTATTCTAGCTACTTAAAAAGAAACCTAGCTCTGTCCCAGCTAAAAACCAGGGCATACCCTATACAAAGAATTGTGGCTGGGCAAATAATATGCAAAGGTATTTTTGAGCAGTGCTTTTGAAATAAAAAAATGCTAGTATTTTGGGGAATAGCTTGTACATTCATTTTCCACAAACACCTCCAGGAATTAAAAAAAAAATAAAAAATTTAGATTTGTGCAGAAAGTATTATGCTTTCCACATTTCTGTGCAAGACTGATTTGTGCAAAAGTTTGAATGATCTTCCTGAAAAGTCCTTACTATAGCCTCTGTGCCTAATTGACTCTGCCTTAGAAACAAACCTTCAATTATCCAGAAAAAAATCACACGACTGAAATGAACAACAATAGAATACAGGGAGTGAATTACAAACAACAACCAGTCTAGTTACAATGTCTGATTCAGAAATAAAGTAGATATAGGCATATCTGAGTAAAGCTGACAATTTCGTTATCTACAAATATTTTTGGACCAAAATTCTCTGTGGATGTACATCTGAATAATATAAAGGATGTCATCAAAGGCATTTCAGCTGAAAGGTGGGCCATGAGTTTAGAAGATAGCAATAAAAAACATTATGATCATTAGGTTAACAGAAATCACTGGGAGCTCCAGCTCTGGGAATAAGCAATAGCACTGGACTTACTTGACTTTTGCTGCTTCTGGAAGATGCTGCAACTCAGATTGAATATCTAGGATATCTGGATAGTTCTTTTCAAAGATCATAATTAAGTAGTGCAACAGTGTAATGTTCCTGAAAAAAAAAAAGAAAAATAACAGAAGGGAGAAATGAGAAGGAATATGGTGGTGAGAAGGAAAAGGATGGTGGGAGTGTTGTGATAATTCAGTGAAAAATATTTGGGTAGAAAATGTTCTTGAATGAAAAAAATAAACAATATATCAGCAGTTAGCAGTTCTGTAATTGAAAGAAAAGTGTCACAGACTGAAATGAATTAGACCATTATGAACCATCCTTCCTAAAACCTCAAGCAATATATTGTGCCTTGATTTATTCTGGAAGCACCAGCATGCTTCCATCCTTCTGTGTAGAAGGTGTAACAGAAAAGAAAATTGCGTAACACAGTATACTATTTGTCCCCAGATACTTCAGAGAATAAAAAACTAATAGTACTAAAGTGACATTAATTCCTAAGGGAGAACTAATCTGTTCTCAGAGGCAATGTGGAAAAAAAAAAATCTAAGAGTTAACTAAGAAGAGGAAAAGGTTCTTGAAGATTGAAGAAGATGCAAGGGAAACTCTAGTAGTGAAACAGCTATACTTACGAGTAGTGGTCAGGCTCACTATTACAAAAGCAATGGCAGCTCAAGTAGGAGTGGATAGAAATGAGATGTATAAGAGATGCAGGAGAAGGTTTAAGAAAATTTTTAAATTAAACGATGAATTTTGCATCAGTTAATTTTGCATGTAGAGAGAACAGCCAGCCATAACAGCTACTTGAGGTGGGTGTTATGTGGTTAACTGACAGGCAAGACAGCAGATGGCCACTACTTCACACAGACTAGAGCCTGGGAGCTGGTGAGAGAACAAAATCTGCACAGGACATTTAATATATGGAAAATCAAGCCAAGCTACATTAAGGTAAAAAAAAATGTTCAACACTACCTACAAAATTGTTAGCCTTGGAATACGGAAAGGACCTCATGGTAGTCAAAACAGAACTCTGTTAGTTCAAACTCTATTAGGTATGGATGAATTTCCTATGGCTTCTTACTGCCATTATTTATTCTGTCACAGCCTGAAGTCATTTCACCACAACTGTGGTCTCAGCAGGTCCCACAAGTCAAGGAAGGTGCAAGTTAGTAAGAACCACTATAGGAGAGTTTCAAGGAAACCCTCAGCGCTGCTGGAGCCCAAAGTGTTATCCTCTCCCCAGTCACAGCTGGATTAATTTCCAGAACCAGTATGGGGATGTGGGGCAAAACATGGGGTAGCACTATGAAGACCTACAGCCCATGTCCATAAATAGTAAGCTTCACCTTCCCAAAACCAACTGTTCTCCTTAACTGCTGTCGATACAACCAGGCTCAGTCTCTGAGTTATGCCTTGTGGTTCCATTACTGGTGTAGGTAGAGAGCCAGTTTATCGCAGTTCTGCATCAGAAACATATGCCATGTTTCACAGGAGACATAAAATTGTGGTCAGAGTTTCTTGTGTTTTCTTTTTTGCAAAACCATGGCCATAAAACTTAGGTATAAAGGGCAAATTCCATAGAAATCCTCCTCCTCTCCAAACTCATTTCAGTCATTTGTGAAATACTACATTTTATCATCTTTGCACAGTGTTGCAGAAACACAATCCAACAACAGATGTGCATTATCCCAAAAAACAGCAGAATTTGAGTGCTCTGTTAATAGCTGGTCTTAACTGCTGCAGGATCTTTTAGAGTGAAAAGTACTAATTAAATGCCAAATAAGACAATATTTTAAATGGTTTAAAGAGCTAAGAACAAACAAAATCCACTTTCTTTACTATAATAAGAGATGCAGCAGCACAGTAACATTTACAGCCTTCTAGCCTACCTGTCTATGCTGGATTTGGTGTCTGCAATTTTGTTCAGGCTGGAGACTTTGAAGCCATATGCACTTCCCCTTTGGCCCTTGTTCATATAATTCCCAAAGGCCAGAACTACCTCCAGGAGTTGCCTCAAACGCTTGCTTCGGATGAGTTCTTTGGATGCCAGAAGGATGGCTTGAAAAGAGAAAAAGGTTGAACAAGTTATTTCACAGTGGCTGTTTTAAACATGCTTGTGCCCATAATTCAAAGTACCCTAAAATGCCCATCTGACTATCGCCCAGCAAATGCTGCAACACAGTCTCTGTGTATACCGTCCTTCCCACACCCGCATGCCCAGAACAGGACATCTGGAAGAAAGATGCACTATGTCTAGCCTGCAGGATGCTCCTCTGAACCCAGGAGCAAGGCTTCTCCTGGACCTCACGCTCTAAAAACACAGAACAGCGAGAATGGGGAGAAGGCTTGAGCTCATCTGAAAATGCAAAGCAGAATACACTCATCTTTCCTCTGTGATAACCTTGGAAATGGCACAGAAAGCACACACCCCTCCTTGTAAGTGACACATTCCCAGAATACCACCATCCTGAGGCACCTATTCTAACCACCCCATAGAGAGGGAAGGTGCAAGAACTTTGGGGTAAGAAGGGAGGGCTGACCTGCACAGAAAGGCCATGAAAGCTTTTGGCAGCTCAGCACAGCCTGGTAGCACACTGTCACATCTGTCGGGTCATATTTACAGTGTAACAATCATGACACTGATTTTATTAAGTCAAAGGATGTAAGAAGAGTGTCAAGACAGAATTGATTTCTTAGCACATGATATCCCTTGGAATCACTGGCTCTACAACCACAGCACAGATGTAACAGCACCTCCTTTGAAGACAAGCCTCTCTTGACCTTCCCTGCCCCTTTACCCAACTCTTGGCAAAAATTTTAACCATACCTTCCACTTTTGGCTTTGCTTCTGCCAACCTCTCTGGAAACTTCTTCTTAAAGAATAATGCCTGCAGCCGCTGCTGATAGTGGTCAATCCTGCATGAAGGGTAGAGGAAAGCCGACACTGAATTGGAACTGTTTTTTTGAAGCCCAGGGTCAGTACACTGCCTACATAACCTAATGGTTGGATACTGAGTCTCACCATGCCTGTGCATGGGATTATGGACATAGTTCAAACATCTCGCACGGTATAATTGACCTTGTTATGAAAATGAAGGACCTCAGGGCATGTTTTGATCACAACTGAAAAGGAGCAGGAAGAATTCCTATTACTCTCAAAATATGAGATTCATGGGAGATGCCAGCTGCATCTCAATTAACAGAACAAGATGTTAATCCTGATTAGGGGTGTAGCAAAATTGGGACAAGAAAGAAGGTCAGAGTATAATGACATGGGATGGCTGAATGGAAAAAGGGATCTATATGAAATCCTGACCCCTGGCTACACTACATCTGATAGTCAGATCTGAATACCTTTTTCTGTGAACCAGTTTAGGCAGAGGAGGCAGATTTCTGCTTGTCATCAGGGGACTGGTCCTTAAATGACAGCACAGAGAGTGCTTATTGTCAATAAAAAGTTTGTGTAATGAACGGAAACATTTGTAACATTTGTGGGCTTCTGGCAAATGCAGGGTATAGTGCTGGCCCACAATCTCTTGCACATTCCCCCTCAGTGCCAGATGATCCGTTTTCAATAACAATTACAGCTGCTTCCAAGAAGCCCTCAGTGCACTTTCCCATAATGTATCAGACCTGCTCATTTCAAAGAGGAAACGATCCGCCCGGGCCATGCGCTCAATTTCATGTTTATGCTCCTCCAACAGGTCAGTATCGCTCTTTTCAGGAACAAACTTCAGCAGCTAGAGTGGCAGACACAAATCAAACACTGAAATGAGAGATCCAGGGAAAAGGAGAGAGGGACAGAGAGGCACAAACAAACCCTGATGGAGAGAGAGGGACCTCATATTTCTGTGCTACCACAGGGAAGCATTACGTTGACTCACTGTAGCTTCAAAAAAGTGCAGCTGTGGCTACAAAACTGACCTTTTTTAAACCTTTGTTTGCTGCTCTGTCTTTATCAGTCACTGACCCCATTAGATTAATTTTTAATTCTATGGGGAATTTCCCAGCTCTAAATCCTAAAGGCCAAGCACTACTTCAACTTACCCAAGGGGAAGTACAGATAGAACCGTGATTCCCACAGCATTACTTGGACTTTAGATTGGTGCAAACAAGAGCAGGATGTGTCCACTCAGTGTGAAGTACCCGTCGTGCCTATCCTAGGCTGCAAACAAAGCCTCATCTATCTGTCTCTTGGGTCTGTCCTACTCTGCTGAAACAATAAACAATAACCAAGCAAATGGATATGTGTCTGACGCTGGCTGCTATTCATATGGTGACCTTAAAAGCTCATACTTTGACAGATTTTTGACATATCTGGTGGTAGTTGTGCTTGAGTATGGTTGTAAATATTACCATGCACACAGCCTCAGTGCACACCCACAAAAACTGCTCAGAAGGCATATCAAGCACTTTGCTTTTTACCACTTTTTAATATTTTATCCCACTCCCCAAAAATGCAATATTCAAAGATCAGAGCATCAGAAGCTTCCAGTGACTTCTAGAGAAGCTGTGAACATTCAGATAACATGTCAAGAAGGCTATAGATTTCCAAAATGGAATAGCTTTTTGTACATGACTAAATACTGTAGCTGCACACAAAGAAGGAATCACATTTGTCAGGCAGTTCAGAATTATAACACTTCGCACACTCCTAAGGAACTTTATCGTATGCATCTTTGGTCAAAGCACCAGCTTTTACCCTCTATAAATGGGGGAAATTATGCAATAGTGGACTAATTATTTATATCCCTCCTCCCTCCCCCAAGCTACACAGTGAACCAACTGCAGGGGACAGAAGTCTCTGACTTCCATTCTAAGCATTCTAGTTAGAATGTGAGATCCCTTGTAAGCCCAGCTATAACCATTGACCTACATGGCTTGTTTCATGGCATTTCCCCTCAACTAGGAAAAAAAAAAAAAAAAAGCTGCAGGTAGAGAAGGGACATTAAGAACAAAAAAAATAAGAAAAAAGATAAAAAGAAGAACAACAATAAAAATAATAAGCAGTATAAACAAAAGATGGGAAAAATAATGAGAAAGTCACAGGTGAGAAGAGAGGCCATGAAAAGAAACCTCATAACGACTGTAATCATGCATATTTTGCATCAAGACAGAAAACTGTTATGAAATCAACCTGATACAAATAAAGTTACACAAGGGAGGCATATTTGACAACATTGGGAAAAATACTTTTCTCATGCTCCCATATACAGCTGCACTGACATGATAGGGCCAAATTCAGATCTGCAGACATACCAGCAGAGCCAGTACATATATCCACTTACTTTAGGTGAAGAAAAGACAGTGAAGGACTTAAGAATAAGATATATCTGACTGTAATCTTTCTCACCTGCTCAAGCATGTCTTTTGCTAGGTCTTCTTGTTCATCCATCTTCAAGATTGCTTGTCTGATTTCTTCATTGGACAGCTTCAGCCTTTCAACAGTATCAACATTGTAACGTTAGTGCAAAGCTTAAGTGACTCTGACAATTCGGAAAGTAGAAAAGCTGCACTAAAAAGACACAAAAGATCCTTGGGAAGCTCCACCATGAAGCTGCTATGCTAGAGTATTCAGTAAGATGAACGAATCAGTTCCAAAGGCAGAGTTTCTAGATCATGTATTTTTATGCTCTTCAGCTTATCAAACACACATCAAAATTAGATGGTGATTAAGAACAAGCAGGTCCTTAAAAATCAAAAGAGCTTCCAACTTCCCCCATATCAGATACCTTCCTCATCACGTTCTTTTGCTATAGTATAACACCTCAAATCCATGTGACTTTTAAGTGACTGAGCCCATGTAACACCCCAGCTTGTGAATATTAAAGGCCCTCCCAGAGTAATAAGTAATGGGACTGACCTTTCCCTTACAGATATGAGAAAAGGGTTTCTTGTAAGAAGACTGGTTGTGCTAGGTAAATTCAATCTGTCAGCAGCCACAACTGAAGAAGGAATTGACAGCATCTACATATCCATGTTTCATATCCAATATGAAACAAGCTATGAAAATAAAAAGTTATTATCTGAGGTGTTAAAATTACACTCTCCTTCCCACCTACTCCTGTCCATCTGTGTGCAATGAGTAGGGGTCATGAGATACAACAACACAAACAATCAATAAAAAAAAAGTCTCAAGGTCTCCAATTGAAATCCAGGGAAGACCAGGAGGAGTCAAAATCTGTGATTATTGAGAGGTTGCTTGATAGATTACATGAAGTTAATTTGGTGGTTCTCAGTGCCGAGGTTAATGAACAAATACAAAAGTGACGAATTCTACCCCACCACCCCCAACCAATGACAGCCTCATCAGTCACTTCAGGAGAGTAGGGGAGGACCAAATGAACCATAAAGAAAAGGCTATCCACAAGAAAATCTCAGTTTTGGGACTGAAACAGGAAAGTGTGAAAAGAAATATTTGAGGAGTGAAGTCTGCAGTCTCCATGGATCTTGTACAATCAATATAATTAATTAACAGCAGAAAGAGAAAATGCAAATATAAATGAGAGAGAGGCTGATGTATGAGGCAGAATGTTTTTGTCTTCAGTGCTAAGAAATTCCATGTTGAAATTTCACATTGCTATTGCCATTTGGATAGAATCATACTTCTGGAACTAGGTAAAAGCAAAAGAAAGAGCTTTATTTTTACAGACAGGAAATATTACTAAATCTAAGAAACTTAAAACATTTTAATATTGTCCAATATAACCAACAGCTGGAAACTAAAATATGAATCAGCAGACATTCAAAAGCTTTTAAATATTACACTTCTGGACTAATTGCTTTCACCCTGCTCCTAGCTGGTCATCGTGTCTGCTTTTGACAAGGAGGGCAAACTGATACCAGCCAAGTAAGATAACGCTACTGAATTTCCAGAAAAGCTACATAATTGGGCCATGCTTGGATGACATAGAAGGATTAGAAGTTTTACAATGAAAAGGCTGGACACTTTTTACTTTAGGTCATCGGCTTGACTCAGGATCAAAACAACAAACCTCAGTACACGGGGTTCTGCATAAAGTTCTACGGTCTCAAATCAGAAAACTGAAGGGTTTATTTTGGCTTTAATAATCACGAATTGTGAAGTCCATGGTTGTGTGACCCTGAACTCATCAAACCCTGTGACCACATGAGGGCTGAGAAGCATATTGGTGAGCATAGGCCTGGCTCCTAGCAGACACACATGCACATGCCCAGACAGTTTGGTGCCTGCAGTTTTTGAAGTGCTACATTTTGTTGGTTATTTTTCCTTTAAAGAGCATCTTTACATTTTCCAGAATCTGGAGTCTGCAGATTAGCTGTGACTTGTGACACAGCCACACAGTCTGTCAGAAGGGATGCACAAGCCAACCCATGAATATTATGGTGGGGGGTTTTTTTGTTGCTACTTTCACTGAAGATAAAAAGAATGAGAGCAAGTTTCATGTTTTTCCCATGCAAATAACTCAGCAATTACCACAGTGACCACCCATTACACAGTGCAAGTCCTTCTGTGTGTGTTTGGGGATGCAGTAAACAGGACCAAATAGACAGGTTTGAGGTACGTCACCACAACAGAAGGTGTAGAGCATATTACTGCTGATCTTGCTGTTCTGTCCAGGAGCCCAAGGACTTCAGACTCCAAGCTCCTCTGTTTGTTGACATTCATCAGCAGTAAATACACTTGAAAACCTCTTCTGTTCAAAAATAATTGAAAGCCCCAAGGATAGACAGTTATACAAACACTTTGATTTCTTGGATGATTCTGTGCCCTGCCATCAGCAGCAAAATATCTGGCTTGAATGGTTTAGCCCACAGTAGAGAGAAGCAGAAAGTTTGCCAGCCTCCTGCTGAGAAGCAGTTTAATTTAGTCACTTACAGGCCTGTAACGGAGTCATGGCACCTGCAGGTGTGCATCCTAGATTATTACCAATCCAATCTCAAGTACAGAAGGATTTACAGCAAACCAATCTTACTGTTCCAAAGTGGGCTTGTTCCTCTTCTGGGGCAGGACCCATTTCAAGAGCTGTAAGCGTCAACAGCACAGAACAGGGATCTTCCCACTTAAAAACTGCCTAATGGGCCAAAATGTTGTTAATCAACTGATTCTTCTTGTATTTTCAAAACTCATGCCCAGCCATGCAGTAGATCTTAAAGATGGCCAGCAGTAATGTGAAACATATGTGCTGCTTTTAAACAGAAACAGGTGAACTGATTAAAGAGGAACCTAAAGCAGATGCGTAAAATCTTTTCATTTAGAACTGAATAGAAGCATCCCTCAGAGCCTAAAACTCATATGGGAGAGACAGCAAATTAAAGTGGAATTATGGGCCAAAAATTTACACTATAGAAATTACATTTCAATATCTATCCGAAAGTCTGCAATGACTTTCTTACAATCTTTGCAGATCCAGGCACTCTTCCTACAGCTGCTGGAGACAACTCAATTTGGAACAGCATATGATTCAAGCTGTATTCTCTCTGCCTTATGCTTCACCAAATCACGGATCCTGGCATCAGAACTCAGGAAGTAAATGTGACCAGAAGAAAACCCAGTGCCCTTTCCTCAGCTGCATCACATTCATTCACAGCACAGTTATTGACTGTTTTTGTTCAACAGCAGCCTGACGCTGGTCAGATGAGGAAGGAAAAGAATCTTTACTGAGAATACTCCTTCCTTCTTCCCGCACCCATACATCTGGTGGCAGCATATGAAAGTCCAACTGCTTGAGTCATCTTCAAGCAATGTTAAAGCTCAACAAGTACCAAATAACTTCTGATATGGTACTTAGCCTGCTTCCCTCTATCCCCTCCGGCTTCATAAATAATCTCTATTGACTCTGCAGAGTAATTCATCACTAATCTCCCCAGGACACCTCGTCTGATTTAACACCAGCTTCACTTGCAGACATCAAGTGGTTTATTGTTTCGTCCTCTCAGAGAAAGCTGGCAGCCTGACTCTGAACATGCCTGGGAGACATGTTGCAGTTTTACATCAACTTCCCTTGCAGACATCCAGTGCTCGCTCATTTTTCCTCCTTAAATATACCCATTCATCCCTGCTTCATTCCTCTCTCCCATGGATGGAAGTAGAATACTTGTCACTCATTAACCATCTCCCCCTCAGAGGAAAAAGTGAGTTACTTCTTGAGCTTGTTCCTTGGATCTTGCTTAGCTTTTGAGAAACAAGCATGCTTGCCTACTACCAGAGAACCTGGAGTTTTGTTGCAGCTACATTAAGCTCCTGTACCACAGGGATCACATTCCTGCTCGTCCTTTTACCTTGGAGAAGGGGACTGATTATCATGTATCAAGGCCATTTCCTACTTAAAACTGAACTGAACCACAGCACTGCCAAAAGTTGCTAGCAATAGCAGCTGTCACAGTGAGAGGCATTGACTGATACTTAGCTGCATCCTAAGGCCAGTTTCTATAGCTCACCCAAATCTTAGCTTTTACTGACTGCAGACACCATCGCCACAACTTATTTCACACATCAATTCACTCTCTAGCTTTGTGACTGGGACATAAGCCTTCTCTAACTCTCCTGAGCTCTCCTAAGGCTCTGTACAACTGACAAGCTGCAGGCTCTTAAATAGCTAGGTTTTGGGAATACTCATTGTCACTACCCCATAAAGGCAGGAAAAGGAGATGTCTCCCTGCTCTCAGAAGCAGCATTCAAGAGTCAGGCTGGTCTAACTGCACGCTCCTCCAGAAGACAGAAAGACTCAGCCACTCTTTTCACATCCTCATATCTCAGCTGCCAACTCGTCAGTGAAGAAGACAGTGCCTTAACCTTTTGGGGACCACAGTTTGGGACATTTTATCAGGTGCATCTTACACCATTATATCAACATGTTGGGAAAAAATTCCACCAGTGCCTTTTCAGCACTTTACTGTGAAAGTATTCAGCCAAGTGCACCAAGAAACAGCTTTTCCTTTCCCTTCCCCTTCTCCTTCCTCTTCCCCTTTTCTTCCTTCAACAAAAGCTCATGAGTGACCAAGCTACTTTGCATCCAAATACTCTAAACTTCCTACCAACAAGGATCTGGCGACTGCCATCTTTCTGAGTGAAGCAGAGTGAAGCAGGGTCAAACTTGTGAATCCCCAAATTACAGTGACATATGGATGAGGCAGGAGTTCCTCTTTTATCACAACCCTACGTACCAGTTCCTCATTGTGATCTAAGACAGGACAGCACTGAATGAAGTGTTCAGTTTAACCTTGGAGTTTATCATACATGGAATAGCAGGTAAGGCCATTTATTAGGGACCTTAACTTAAAACCAGAAAATCTCTCATGGAACCCAGGAGGCACTGTTTATTGCCTAGTGTTTTTCAAGACAGTGCACTGAGGAACTGAACTGCTGAGTCCAATGAACTGATATAACAAGGTATGATCTGTACCCCAAAGTATCATACTGCTTGGAATCTACCTTCAAATAAGGTGGACACTGTATTGTCCTATGGCAGAAGGGCAAATAGGGACTGGGGGCACAATACATGGAGACTGATATTGGCTGAATAGCTTGTCCTCTTAATGTCTGATCTGAAAGGGTTTAGCAGCACTGAGGTGGCACAGCTATGTGAGAGAAATATTTGTTCTCTTTAGTATTCTGGTTGGAAATCCTGCACAAGTCCCTTTTCTTCTTTACTGATAGATGTTTGAATCGACAATCATGAAAACCACAAACATTTGTTAAAGCTGCCTGCTAGTATCTATATACTATCATATTCACATTTAAAGATATTTTTTGTGTAGCCAGATTCTGCCTTCTGCTACTACTGGTTTTATGACATTTTTTCTAGCACTCCTACTGTTTCCAGCCTCTTGAGAGGTTTACTGCTGACTAGCTGGGCCACAGGAATAACAAACACATCTCAGCAGAACACTGACATAATGATTTTGCTGGAATTCATGCAAAATAACTTGCACAAAGTCCCATAAGTATACATTCAACTTTCTGAGCAACATGTCTCATAGAACTGGACCTTTTCAGAGCATTTCACAAGCAAGATAGTAAGAGAGACATGTCTTAAGCATGTTCTGCAAGGACCATTTAATGTTCTGCAAGAACATTTAAAGATATGATACAACAAAAACACTAGAGCAGTGAAAATACTACCCATTACTTAAGCAATGGAGGCAGGGAGAAGCCATACTGGTGAGAGAGGTCAGAGAAATTTCCAGCTGCTAGGTGAAAGCAGGGAAGCAGAGAGATCTGGGATGACTCTCCAAAACCACACAAGTCTGACAGTAAATCTCCAGCCTGGTGGAAACTAAAGACATCAGGAAATTCATGAGGGATAGCAGATTTCCAGTGTGACAGAAATAACTATATGTTGGAAACACCATTAAGAAAGCCGGATTTGAAGCTGGTTAGTGCCACAGACACAGACGAATGATTCCATGTCCTGCTTGAATTATTGCCTACTAGAAATATTGTGAGATAAACTGATCTTGTGCCTATTCAAACCTTTACAGTTGGCCTATGGGACACAGCTTCATTCTGCATCCACCAGACTCCATCAAAAAAGGACAATTACACCCTTATACTGCTGGAAAACTAAAAGATGCTGCTATCAAGTATCTCAAGTAAAGCTTTTTTAATGAAAATTTAAAAAAAAATTCTATTAACTGTCAGCAACAATCAGCCAGCAATTCACTTTTCATCTCTTTTCAGTCTACCATGCTCCAATCTCTGTGCTAAAGAAAGCAAGAGACATCTATTTCTCACTCTAGATACATTTTGGCTTGTTGGACCATATGAAATATGAGCTCTGCCTGACCCCTTCTCACACAGTGTTAGTAAAACAAAAACATTTGAGTAGTGGAGGGAAAGAAAACCCAACCCATGCAGCTATTTAACTTTAAGGGACACAAAAGTTTAGTGTAAACAAAGGGGGAATAAACTACAGGGATATATGCACAGTAAGAGTCAATTAGAAACATCTGTTGGCAGATACTGTGGCAACCTGAAAGCTGGGGCTGCAGCTCAGTTTTGCACAAACTCTCTTTGTTTGTCACCAATTTTAAATCCCCTCTCATTGCACGTGTGTGCACACCCACATGCACACATGTGTAAGGTGTGCTGCAGGAGCAGCAAGGGCATGGCAGCAGCCAGGGGTGATTTGGCTGGGAGTGTCTCTCCTACAGGGTTTAACCTAAAGAAGGAAGTGGGGTAATGAAAAAAAACTGCAAAGGGGTCATAAAACCCTTTCAATTATTGTCTGCAGCAAACCCTTCCAATTGCTGTCTTTAATAACAGAACCATATCAGTACAAAGAGCAGAAAAAGACATGAATATAGAGGTGCCATTTTAGTTCCTAAAGATTTTTGTTTTTCTAGTTGCACTTAAAAGGGAAGTTTGGGGAGCAATAGCAAACCTGGTCCAAGCTGTAAGATATTTCTGATATCCTGGGTGTAACTCTATCTGTTACAAACATTAAATGATCTAAGCCAGTGATAGTTCTGGTGACTAGTGTTTCCCAAAGCACAGCACAGCAAATTTAACAGGGCACAACGCAAACTGGCAGACTCCTTAAGGACAGTGAGCTCAGTCTCCAAATCTCTATCATCCATGTTAGGCCTGCTAACAAAGATCAGGATATTTCCTAGCAGAGAAGTTGGCAGTCACAAAACACAGCTTTTCACTTCTGGTTTGAGTCTACACTAGCAACTTGAGGTGGACTGGCTTCATGGCATAACTGGAGTGAACACACGCTGTGTAAGCTGAAGTGCAAGGTTTGTGCTTCAGTGCCACTTTGCTGGAGGCATCAGAAGGGAAGACAAACCATAGAGACTGTCCTTTCTCTCTCTCACCATTTAGAGAGGATTCCTCTTAGGTAACAATGGGCCAGACTTGCACGGCAGAGGACATGAATAGTGAAAAACATGTACTGCTGTCATCCAAACTGCTTTTGGTTTGGGGATAGGACCACCTTCCTGGAACCTCCTCAGCCCAGCCACCTGCACACATTGTGTCACCACTTCTAGGAAACATTCCATATGCTTACATAAGTTATTCTGAACCCCTGACACACTTCAACAGCTCTGTCAAACAGCATGAAAATCTTGTTGCTCCTATACCTCCCCATCACTCTGCCACAGCCTGCAGTCAGCTGCCAACATCAAGCAAAGACATGCATTGGCAACTGCTACAAAGAGAGAAATGTTAAGTCTTCCCTCACTGTTGGTTTGGATGGGGGGGTCCTGCTGACATGCAGGCTAATGCCACATAAGTAGCATAATGAGAGCCTCCATGGGTTTCACTAAGCAATGGAAAGAACTCACTCCAGTCCTGGTGGTCTGGCTGCAACTTTGATTTTAACTGTTAGCTTGCTAGAGCAGACAAGCAATTGCATCCATAAGAACCCACATTTTCTACTGATCAGTGAAACAGTTTTATTGCTCAGTACTGTCACTGCTTTCCCAGGATCTGTCTCCAGCCCTGCTGTCTCTCCTCTAGCAAGAAAGGCAACTTTCTCAAGTGGATCAGCGTCTGCACAAATTTGATGTTTAGTGAGAGACATTCAACCCAGTACTCATGTTGGTAGAAAGGCATAAAAAGCATATAGAGGGACCTGATGTCACAGCATTTGAAGGCATTTGAGTTGCCATTGCAGGAGCATGCAAAGGCAACTCCTGGCTTCCAAAACCTAATTTACAAATACAAGACATAATTCTTTAATATCTCTTTTTCATTTAGCACTCTTCTCACTAAGAGTCAAAAATGAAAAAAGATGAACACCACTCTCAGCTCTGCTGTATTCCAGGGAGATGCTCAAAGCAACATTTAGGAAAAAACATACAGAACAGAGACAAATGACATACACAGAAGATGGGGGACACATCACTTACAGTGAAGTGCAAGCACTACCAATGAGCTGCTTTAATCTACCTATGAGTACTGATAGTTTTCTGGTGATGAGTGTTTAGATACATCTTGGTGTCTGTGTCAATCTGTTTAATGCATAAAATGTGCGTATGTGCCCACATTTGTTAAGTGAGCTAACACTTCCAAAAGACGTGCTTTTATGATGCTGCAAGGTAAGTTTCTCTGAAGCTCTGCAGGTATTAGACAGCAGGTCTAGATGAGAGAAGAAACATGCCCGTTTGTTTAATTCCATCCCCTCTTGCCTTTACATTGACCGCAGGATACCCTGTGAGCTAAGGCTTTGCACACTTACTTGGAAAGGAGAATGACACAATTCTGGGCCCTCCGGCCGTCAATCACAGAGAGCTCTTTCACCTTTCGTGTGGAGAGGTAAAGGTCTTCTGTTGAACCCATCTCTTTCTGCATGTAATTCAAAAGGCGGGGAAACAATCAGTATCATGTTTCTCACCCAAGACTAATAGACTTAGCTGAGTATCATGAACAAAACCCATCCCAACCTGGGAAAATCCACCCAGATGGTGAGAAAAGGAGACAGGAAGGGCATAGAACATGTAGGTAGATCCTGTATTAGTAGACAAACAGAAGTAATTCATTACCACCTATAAGATCATTTTTGATTCCAAATACTGGACCTGATTATGACCTACTGGACTGAATCACTCTGCCAACAGTTATTATTATTATTATTACATTATTGTGCAAAACTGGCGTGACAGGAAAATATGGTACATTATTGTATCACCCACTGGTATCACAGCACGTCCTTCAGCAGATGCCTCCTGCAGGGGTAAAACAGCATTCTTGAAAGGCTGTGGTCCAATCCAGGAAAATCATCTCTGAAGGCTGCCACTGGACCAGTCCAATCCATATTACATGAGAGATGCAAACAGTAGGGCAAGATGGCATTTTAAATGTATCTTGCTAAATGATCAACATTTACGTCTGAACTAGCCTCTCTTTTTAAAATTAATTAATACCTTTAATTGCACAGAAACCACCCTTTTTCAATGTTCTCTGTATATCCCTATTGCCAAACTCATCACCTGAAAAAAATCCTGGAAAATCCTCGTCCAAAATGTTTGTCACAGCACACAGAGAGAAATTATTTGCAAACCCAGTCTGACCATGCAGGAGTCTCTCTCCCTCATCCTATCTACACACCAGAGCCATGGGATTTGTTTCACTTCCAGAGACTGGCTTTCTGTAGTTATTTTGAGTATCTTTTAACACCATTCCTTAAAGGGAAGTAGAAGTAATGATAAAAGGTGTTAATCCTGGATAATAGCTCTCTAGTCACCAACAGAGAAGAGGGAATCTGAAACAGGACAGTTTTTATTTTCCCAGCTAACTGCTGCTGGAACCTCTTCAAAAGTGCCCTTCTATGAATGCCATATTGTTATGTCTTGAGATTTGGAGACTTATCAGTATAATCTAGCTTTGAATGGTCCCATCAAATTAGCAATGTGACTTCTTTCTTATGATATATAAGCAAGCATGCTGAGTCAGACCAAATAGTCCATCTACCCCTGTATCTTGTCCCTGAGAGTGGTCAACAGCAGATACCCAGGGAAAGGTGTAAGATCATGGCAAAACAAACTGGACCTGATTCTGACCTACTGGACTGAATCACTCTGCCAACAGTTGTTATTATTACATTATTGTGCAAAACTGGCATGACAGGAAAATTTGGCACATTATGGTATCACCCACTGGTATCACAGCACGTCCTTCAGCAGATGCCTCCCACAGTGGTGTTTTGCCATGATCTTACACCTAGTGCCAGCATCTAGCTTGGCAGAAAAAAAAATTGCAATGTTACTTGATATATCAAATAATGTTTCCAAGAAAAGGAAAAATTAGGCATTGGGCAAGTTTATTATTTCTCAGAGAATAACTAACAATACCAAAAAGCAGGGCTCCCCCGGTATAGTCTGGTATGTAGAGATGTCGAGATTTTATTGAGTTTCTTCAGTTTGCGGGGAGGAAGACAGGGGAATGGGGAGATAGGCAGCTGTTGAAGGTAAGAAAGGTACTTGGTCTGTGTTCTTGGTTTAAAAGCTTCACTGTCCCTCACTAGCTAATGTTTGCAGACAAACACACCTGGTTAGTGTTAACCAGCACCCATCTCAAGGAAAAAAAAAACAAATTGTTTCAGGGTTTGGCTGTGTGTGTGGAGTAGGGGTTTAGATGGCTTCCCCTAAAGCCATGCAGCAGGGATTGGTATAATTGTCTCCATCCCATTTCCAATTCCACCATTTCCAATTCCCCTACCCACAAGGTTGAATGCAGACAAATAACTTGAACTATTCAGACATGGCACACTCCTTGGTCATAAGGAATGGGCTAGTCTCATTTAAAAATATATTCTTTTCAACTCATATTGAGGAGAGAGAGATTTATAGATACTTGGAGTTGTGTGTAAGCAAAAGCAGATGAAGCCTCAGGTTTTACCAAAGCCAGACTGCAAGCTTAGCTGAAGGAAAACAGATTGCATATGGACTATCTGCATTTTCTTAGACACAGAAAAAGAGGAGCAAGGGGGCAGTAGTGACCAGCTTTTGTGAGAGGCCAAACACACAAAGCAAGAATAGTTGGAGCTGCTGTCAACATGACAGATGATATCCCAAAGTTTTATTCCATCATTCTTCACCAAATTTCCATCTGGAATAGCATTATGTTATGTGCTTCAGAGAGTACTTCAGATTTGAGATTTTAATTGCAAATTCAAAAATAAACTAAAATTTCAGTGCTGGAATGATTAGACATGTGGAAGGTGTTCATCATATTGCTGTCCTGTTTCAAATACAGTTTGATTTTGGTTAGCTGCAGAACTCGTTGTCTGGTACCATGGCAGCACCCTAGGTTCCAGTAATGATCAATACTTTAGTGAACTATTTCTACTGTATTGATTTGTTTTATGGTACATGCTGCCATGATGAAAGCCAGTAAATGACCCAGGGCCATATATTAGCCTCATCCGTTGGTAGAGGTCCTGACCAGACTTTCCAAATACAATTCCCTGAGCACTCATGGTGAGGACTATTTTCTTCTGAAGCCACCAGAGACACTTGTGATTATATGTGAACAACCCTATTCTGAGAGCATTGCTCTTCCCAGAATTGTTGCCAAGAATTTTATGTAAGATGATAAATAAATTGAAAGGTAGACAGTTTGAAGACATGTGGGCACTCTGATCTCTCTACTTTATCTAAATACCATTTCAGTCTTTTGCTGAACTTTCTGAGGGTTTCAGCAGTCTGAAATGAAGTAGGCTTTCCTCCAGTCTAACCCTTCTGCTCCTCAGCTGGCACAAATCCTTCTGCCCAACCAACATGCCTTCCAGTTCTACAGAAAGAAAGACTTTCTTTATCAGAAAATCTGTGACTAGGGAATACATCTGGAGACTTCAGTACTGTCCAAAGCAGATGGGAACAGTGGGAGTGAAGGCTCCCTTAGAGACCCTTTTGTTCTGCACTAGAGAGACTATTACTTTGGTTAAGGAAGAGTTCATGTTCACATTCCACTTTGTCCCTGGTCTTTTTCCTCAGGATCGTCAGAAAGGGGACTACACACACCAGCAGAAACCACAGTGAGGCTGTAGCTAAGTAAAAGAACAGGAACTACTACTACTACAAGAGCTAATACAATTAAAGGAATTTTTTGTACCACCTACCCCACCCAGAAAGCAGACGTGCAAGGGCATATGAAAGAGTAGCATAAGATGAGTCATAACCCCATAATGGCATGGTGCAGGACTTCATCTTCCCACACACTGCAAGAGGATCAGGAAGCAGACAATGATACTCACCTGCTTACAGGAGGAGGGGTTAGTTAGCAGGTCCTATGCAGGCAGCAGCCGCAAATAATAAAGAAGGAAACATGCCAAAAATTAGTCATAGAGAAAGATATCAAGTTTAACAAGGCAGCTGAATTTAGACACACACTGTTTCCTAAGAGAATAAAATGCTTAGCAAGTAATACTGGCCCAGATGGTTCAAAGGTATTTCAGCATTTCTTTGCATATTTTAAATCAGCAGATGTTGGGAAACTAAGAGTTCTAGGTCTTTTCTGAAAAGAATAAACTCAATGTCCAAAGCATAAATCTCTTAGGTCTCGAAACATTAACTAGGATAATGCTTAAATACCTTTACAAATCTAGTCTGGAGCCTTACTGAAAGAACTGCTGAGGTTAAAACTTCAGGGTCAGTTCTCCTCTCCTGATACACAGGCACAGTTTGCCATTATTAGTAACAACTTGTTTCAATGGTACATTATACCCTTTAACAACTTATAGCCAAGTATTTTGAAAGCACTCTGTAACCACCAAAGAAGCTTTACAGCACTACTGGCTAACAGACACAACTATTTCACAACATATTCCATACTACAGGAAAATACTAGATATACTGAATCAAAAGGTCAATATTACACAGTAAGATTGAAGCAAGGTCAAAAGACAAGTGCAAGAATTCTCAGTCCAGCATTCTGGACACTGGACAATTCTGCTTTCCCTCATAGTGATCAAAAATGATACACTGGACTTGAGAGAGGAGAAGAGACCCTTTGTCATTAAAAAAAATGAAGAAGAAAATGAAAGTGGAAAAAAATATGAAGATCATGTTAATAACAGCAAAGAAATAAATGTCTTTATCTGTACTCATTCAACATTTCAGATGCACAAGAGCAGGGCTTTGCATTGACATTTTTCTTTACAGACATTTGGATAAAGTTTAAAAGTCACAAACCCAGGGTAAACACATACTTGGCCGGAGTAGAGTATTTCAAAAAATAAAAGAGGAGAAAAGACTAAGTGTGAATCAACTGGAAAAGGTCTCGTAAGATTTTGATTCAAAAGCAAATTTGGTTGCCCTGTGTTTAAAAGGAAAAAAACAAAACAAAAAAACAAAGAAAATTGATGAGGACTTGTTGATTGGAATCCAGTTGACACTAGAGTGAGTATAGATGAAAAAGAAAGTATCATATAAAGTAATATCAATGGAATATTTAAGGAAAAAAAACCCCAATAAAACCCTGAATAAAAGCTGGAAGGGCAGTAATGCACCCAACTACACAAAAACATGAGTAGTTTACATAAGTGATACTCTAGTGTCAGGAGCCACTGTCATAAAGTGTGTTTCATGAGGATGGAAGAGAACTGTTCTGAGACCCATGGAGATCACTCTGAGATGATGGCTCCATTCCAGTGGGCAGGGGTAAGGGTCAGTTAGTTTACAGTTGAACAGGCCAGGCTGCTTTTCAGTTGTTGGTAACACAGTCATAAATATTATGATTCTGAGAGTCATCAGAGAAGGACAACTTTGGCTTTGGATTTTGGAGCTCAAAGGAAGCAAGGTCATTTCTAGTGAGGAAGCTGCAATGTTTGCACCCAAAACATTGGAATAGCACCTTGATGTTGCAATGACTACTCATCTGTACAGATGACAGTCTGCCTACTTTCAAGACAAGTGGGGGCTCACCACCATAGCTAAGCTGTTGGCACTGGGTCTAAATCCAATCTTGTAACAGCACTGAAGTTCCATGTGCCTGCCTTCCCCTCTATGAATTAAGTTCTTGTTTCAGGGAATGGGATTCACAGAAAGAGAGAATGATCTGCTGAAATAGCAACAGCTATTTGCAGGAGCAGAATGAGAAATGAAATCTCATCATGCAATGGGTAACATGCATTCTTCACAGTTCAAGTTGGGATGCTTATCTAGGTGGCTGTAAGCTAGTAAATCAGAAGAGTTATTCATTATGTTTATTGGATTAGGTAGAAAAATGAGAGACAGAAGGGTACAGATGGAAAAGTCCAAAGACAAGAGGTTTTTTTGTTAATTTTAAGGTACTGAGTAAGTTAAATCATAATGACAATGAAATAATCATTGTCACTGTAAGGCTTAATAGTAAAGGCTGCTTATAACAATCTGTGTCTTTCATCCCTAAAACTCCAGAGCAATGATCCAATTCTGCATACTACAGAAGACTGAATTTCTCCAAATATATTCCAAAAGCAAAAGAAAGCTGGGGGAGTTCAGGGAATACAAGTACAATCTCTCTCTTGCTAAATCTCATTCAGCGGAGATAGACAGATTAAAGGCAACTTGCTTTCCAAGAAAAAGAGGAGGGGAAAAAAAACACATTCTAATAAATGGCTGCTTTTAAAGTATGCTGTTTGTATTATAATCTGTAATTCAGGCAGTTTCTGTCACCTAGCCAGTTGGGTCAGTTGGCTGTTTAAGAAAAAACAGAGAAAGCAAAAGATAGCTAATTCAGTCACCTTGCTTTGTATTCAGGCAACTACAGACATTTTCTCTGGATGAATGGGAGAAATAGAAGATGAATATCAAGCACGAACGTAAAGCTCAGGAGCTTTTGGAAGCCAATGGCTGCTGAGATCAAACAGAGCATTACCTGTTGTGAGCTGTTGTCTCTGAGAGCTGCTCATTTGTATGAAGTATGTTGATAATAGGACTCTGCCCTATATGTCCTCCCCGCTTATTTTGGTCTTGTGATTTTTTTGAATAGTGGTAGAGCTGCATATGATGCAGCCTCACTGCAGGTGGACCAGGGCCCAAACCACTGTCATGTGTTCTTTCCTCTTCCAGAAATTCAAGGAAGACAAAACGTGGAAGAATTCACCCCTACCTGGTGTCGCTGATACGCGGAAAACATCTTTTCAAAATCTTCTAGATCCAGCACCTTGAACGCCTTTAAATCATCAATCTCATTCCAGATTGTGCCATGGATCCTCTCCTGAAAGATAAGGTCATATTTTAATGAGACAGCAAATGCTTTTAGCTAAGCACATCCAGTGCCATTTGCACAGATCGTTCTCTTCTGCTCACTGGGCATATTCCTGTGTACCACTGCTGTCATTTTAGAGGGCATATTTTGTTTTAAGAGTCAAAGGAGAAAAAAATAGTGGTGTGTTTTTGGGGTTCTTTTGGGGTTTTTCAAACAAACTGAATATTTTGTATTTTTCATCACAGCAAGTCTCTGATGAAAGGACACATTCCAAGACTAGCAGACCACATCTCAAGCAATATCCATGATCCCACAGTACATTTCCTTTCAAGATTGGCCATCTGTAACACAACGATTGTGGTCATGCTGAAAGAAGTGTTACCATCATGAGGAAAAAGCTTAGAGAGGGCACTGATGCATGACAAACCCCAGACACATCTTCCCTTCTGCACATTTTGCCAGGTTCTGTTTTAAACCCCAAAGGGTGTGTGGTTTTCATTCTCCCTGCCTGTGAAAGTAGTTTAAGATTTTATTTTATTTTACTTTTAAGGCCCTGAGTCTTTGAAGTCTAATTGTTTCCTACTACATGATCTCCCTACTACATACTCTCTACACGAGTTCTTTGTTGACTCAGATAAGACACAAACTATACACAGGTCTCTGAAAGAGCATCATCCACTCTAACTGGAAGTGTTCACAACCCATGTGATACATTATCCTGAATGCCAGTGAATCTTAGCTGTCTGGCAGATGATTAGCATGGAGGGAGACAGGCACAGACTCCTCCTCCAACTTTGCTGCTCACCAGCCCTGGACCAAGTAAGCTCTTGTAGTATATGCATTAGCTAATCAGCAGTCATCCTAAACTAGGAGAAGATCTTGAGGTCTCCTGTGGACTTTCTCAGGACAGATGTCCTTGCTGGTAAAAAGGACACAAAGATTGCACTACATTCTCCTTCCTACTGACTGTTAGGGTGCATGTTGTGTGGGACAAACTTTGGGCAATTACCTGTTTACAGAAGGAAAACCTGCTCTTCACACCTGACAACACTGTCTTTCACTTAATTTAGTAAATGAAGTGCACATTTATTGTACTTTATTAACTGGAAAAATAAGGAAGGTGTTGATTAAAAGAAAAAGGAAATTAACAGAAGGGATTGTAAAGAGACCTAAGCAAACCCCAGGAGACAAAGAGCCAGCAGAACACTGATGCAGAGAAAGCCAGGAACAGCAAGCAATAGCAATGAAACCCTCACACAGGCTCCAGCTCTGAAGTACCTGACTTGTACCTACACAGCAAAGTGTGTTAACACTTAATTATCAGAACTAATTAGGAACAGGCTCTACTTCCCATTCACAGTCATCAAAGGAATGAGGGAAATGTGCTAAGCCACAAAGCTCAAGGAGCAAGGAAAAACACCTGATGGGAGGACGAAATGAGGGGGAAATAAAAGTGTGAAGTGTTCTGGAGGAAATTTCTGGCAGGGTAGACACTGTGGAGGAAAACCAACACTCTCCCTCCACAGGCAGCCTGAGAATGCCTGAGGGCAAGGAGGGGTGTCTGCAGTGCTGCAGTGCTATTTACAGTGAAAGTATATACTAGATGAGCAGCACTCATCCCTGAACAGGCTCACCGATATCATTTTATCATTCCATGCAATCAGTGTAGCTCTTCTTTCCATAGTCAGAAAAACATTGTGACTCTGTGACTGTAACATGACAAATGAGTTTGGGAGGCTCATCTCAGCCAAAGAAATAGGAGACAAAGTTAACATTCATTTTATCCTAACCCTGGACTCTACTGCCAATGTTAGCCAGGAGCATCCAGGCAGAGTGTTCGTTCTCATTCATTTTCCAGGCTGGCTTTATAAACCTTGAATTATAAATCCGGAGGGATGTACTTGCATATCAGAGCAGTTCTCAGAGTTCCTCACTGTTTCAGATTGCCCCATCAAACACCAAAATGGAAGAATATTCCTTGACAGGAGCCAGTGGGCATGAATTCAGGAGCGGTCCTCAGAGTCATCATTGGGATAGAGCCCTGAGGATGCCAAAAAGCTATACACTGTGTTTGGCAGAAGGCTGGATGTGACTGAAGAGACAACTGCTCATTAAAGTCTTGCCCACCTACCTGTCCAGCTGCAAAACTCTCACGGGAGCGAAGTTTCCCCACAAATGGCAAGAACAGTGGAAAGGTGCTACAGAATGGGCTAGTCCAAATTAATTGCAGAGGTGCCAGAACAGGCAGTTCTGAGACTCACAAAGGAATTGCAGAGAGTAGTTCTCATCCATACTTTCCCAGAAAAACAACCCGAGGAAGTGAAAATTATTCTCATTTCAATTCAGATTCATTTTAAGACCCAGGTTGAATCTGGTCCTGTCCAGGATGTTTGTATTCTACTTGGAGCATACAATTCCAAAGCAGCACCAATTGCAATTGTGTGCACAGATAGAACTTCGACCCAAGCAACCCAATTTTAGTGTTTAAAAACCAAATAGGCTAATCCAGTCAAATAAAAACCAAAGCAGGCGAGGTATAAACAACCTTTGTTACACTAAACACTTGCAATAGGACGTCCCTTCTATTTCTGCCCTAAGCTCTGCCCTTGAAAAATTTCATGTTGCTGCCAGATAATTTCCTACACTGAGCTCTTGCTACTCAGTTATGGATTAACTGGCTGATAGTTCCCTGTCATCAGCCAGAGGGACTGAGTGTTTTAAGAGAAACAGACTTGCATAATATGGTTGCTATGATAAATGGTTCCCTCAGCACCATAAAAAATATTTATGGTCCCTAAATAACAATTTTAAAATAAAGTAAATTCTTTATTTCTTCTTTACTTTTTTGTCTCTTAAAAAAAAAGAAAAGAAAAAAAGAAAAGAGAGGGAGAGGTTATTTCACCTGTAACATGCTTTTCTCCCCATATTAATTTATGTACTTATTAATTTATTCATTCTACAAGTCTTCCAAGATCTGTTGTTCCTCTGCTTTGCAAAGTCTTGGCCCCCTTCAAGAAGAAAATCCTATGAACTACATTTCCCAGCATCATCTAGCAAAATGCTAGTACATATTAGGTAAGGAAACATCTTATTATCAGAAGAAATATTGATGAGGCATTGGCTTCAAGAAGCTGAGTTTTTGGTATGTTGCATTTAACAATTTGCTTGCTGTAGCTGCTGCAGTTGTCATTACACCTTTGCGATGAAGCCAAATTCGCTGAGATACCTACCAAAAGTGTTTATGGAGCTACAAATCATATCAAGCTGTCCTCTGCTACATCTAACAGATGATTTTATTTACCCTGAAAGATAAATAGTGATACTACACAAGCCAGCAAAGTCCACTATGCCTCAATAACCTCACAGCATGAGGGAAAACTTACAGTATTTTGGGAAAGCCTTTCATTTGTCCTGCAGGTCCAGAGAAATCATAGAAACTAAGAGTGTCCTGTGAATACTGGAGCAGGCAATACTGCTTACTAGTAGGTTAATATTTGTAAAATATTAACCATCAATAAGTGAAGCAACTTAAAATTTTAATTCATCATTCCATTATCAATCTGAAAAAGGGATATGAACAGAGTGCATTTCTCAAATTTCTCTCTTGATATCGGATCCTTTCCTCATTTTAAGAAAAATCCCCTTTGAGTAAAAATTGTATTTCTGGCATGTTTGTTAATTGAGACAGATGTTTTATCTCACTGTAGGACTTAGGCACCACCAAGGCTATTATGAGTAGCTTCACACTGAGATTTTGTAGAGATCTTTCCATTAATTTTGAATCTCTGGCAGCAGTCCTGAATTACTGTTTGCCATGATCCTCAGCCTGTTTTTAGGAAGAAAGTTCCAGAAATCAAAATCATCAATAACATTACAGAAATTTTTTTTTTTTTTTTAATAATGTCAAAATAAACGTGTTCTGTTTATGTGGGGTTTTTTGTTTGTTTGTTTGTTTTGGTGGTGGGTTTTGGTTTTTTTTAATCCTATGTGGTATGTAGAAGAAATACTTTTCTTCTGAGACAATTTCACCCAGGTCTGTTTAGGGCTGCCTAAAGAAAACCCCTTTCAAATCACTGACTAGAGTCATTACCGGCCTGACTCTAAATGGGAAGCTGCTTCTCCAGCCATGACATAGCAAGCAGCACAGTTTAAAGTTGACTTGATTTACTCTGATAACTTCAAATCAATAGGTTTATATTTATGAATTGTAACAAATTTAGTAATTATATTAATCTATACCTCCAGTGTGCTTGAAACCAGTCCATCATTTGGATTAACCATAAATGTCTGGTTCCTGTTTGACCTTGGGTGTTGTCTAAAATTCAGAGTGGGAGAGCAAACTCCACTTACTGTCCAGAAACAAAGAAAGGAATCTTTCCAGGACATTACAGTGGTTACATTGCAATATCTTTTTCTTAAAAAACAGAGATCCTTGGCACCAGCACTACTGTAGTGCTGTATGAATGGAATTCCCAGACAATGCTATGGTGCCGTATGAATGGAGCTGTGGTGTGGAAGGGCTTAACCAGAACTCAGCCCATCCATGCATCTAAATGACTTTGCCACTGATCATCAGCTCACATCAAAGCCAGTACAAGATCTTTAATTCTCAAAGGAAATTAGCAGATTGCTGGAGTTTCCTTGTTAGAAGCACGAATACTTTCCAGTCAAACCTTTTTTCATGGTGCCCATGGGAACTGTGGACAATCTGTTATCGTCAACTGCTAAGAGTTTGAATATATTTGATCATTCTCCTAACACCCAACAGCTCAGTCCTTTCCTTCCAAAGATAATATCAGCATTAGGAAAAAAAGGTGTGGTATTATTGCCTGGGAGAACAGCCTTGATTCCACTACTGAGAAAGTCTATCACAAACAATCCCTCTTGGCCAGCCCCGTCAATTCTCCTCTTGGGCTCTGTTGGGTTTCTCTCACTCCCTTGAGGCAGGCTGCATGGACAGAAAGATGTTGACTCTTATGTGGGCTGCATCAGTCCTGGCATCATCTTCACACTTAAGAAAGATTAAGAGAGAGACTCTGTACTAAATGCTTTGAGAAGGAAAGTCTAAATAGTATGCAGAGATACTAGAGAGCTGGATAACATATTTGACCTGGCTGCAGCCCTGAGTTTGTGTACAGCTCTGTTCCCAACACTGTGTCACCACACCTTACTGTGCTGCACGGTGCAGCCATGACTGTGCTCTTTGCTAACTAGACCGCTCTTTTAAAACAGAAAAACATACACATGGTGTCAGATGTATTTTTCCTCAAAATGTTTTTTGTGGGGAAAACTTGTATTCATGTGAACTAGAAGTTAAACACTAACACAAACCAGAATAATACTATGCACACTTCCAGGCCTCAGTTTCTCATCCTCAAAATCTTGAGATACGCTGCTGCCAGCCAGTGTGCTTGGTGTTAGTCTTCATTAGTTCATATATGGCTACTTTGACAGCTCAGTACAACACTACAGAAGTGCTGCAATGGTAACAAAAAGCAAGATGAGGCCATCCGACCTACCCGTGACACTGCATTCAGAGGATTCATATCCATGTGAAGAGAGAAAAAGTGCCTGGTACTGAAGCAGGCAATCTAGGATAACTGATGAAGATGGCTAAAATATATTGCCTCCTCCAGCAGTCAGTGGACTCAAATTATTCCGTAACAAAGTGTACCCCAAATAAGAAAGCAAGACACCTGCGTCTGTACCACAGCCTCTGTAGTTTTGCAGAGACTTTACTAGGTCAAAACACTAACACTGGCAAACACCAAAAAATGAAGCCTACCTTCTTATGCCCCTTTCCCCAACTTTTCTGCCTTCCTCAAAACAGCACCTTTTACCCACCTCACCACCCAGGTCTTCAATTTTATTAGCACAGCTGCCTTCACTCCTAACCAGAGGGCACGATAAGCCTACAGTTACTGTACACTAAACAGAAACACCTGTGACTCTCTCTTTTCAATATACATTCATATATATACATATATTAGTTATTATTTCTTTTCTTCAGAGCACTAAGTCCCATGTTCTGCAAAGGAAAATAAATACCCAGCCTTATATTCTCTCCCACACCCCCCACGTGGCCTTGACAGACCAGCACAGACGGTGCAGCAAATATTTCACTTCACTTTATTTTAAAGAAAAGGAGAGAGGGGGAGAGAGAATTCTTGTGGCATTCCAGAGGTCCCTGGACACTCATTCCAAATGCCAGAGTTGGGCCCTGGGTGAGTTTCAGTCTAAAAGAGAACCTGGGTTTCTAGGCAGCCATCCAAACTCAACACAGACATTTTTTTAAATTTCTAAATCAGTAAAAAAAATTAAGACCTAAAGAGAAGAGAAGGGAGGAAAAAAAAAAAAAAAAAAAAGGAGAGAAGGAAGAGAAAGAAGGAGGGGAAGGAGAAGCAACAAAGATAGCAGAAAATGAGTGCAACAGGAATAATCTAAGTCCTTTGGTTTTATTGCCAATTTGGAGTTTCATCATCAAAAGATGAAGTTGTAACCACGCAAAGGGAAGGGCAGCTTCCCTCATGGCCATGAGAATCAGACCACTTTTCTCTCCTTGGTGACAGCTCCTGCCAGGGTAGAGAAGGCTAGTTTTGGAGATGATTCTCACCATGTTTTGCCCACACTGTCTCTGGCCATCCTTTTCCCTGATGTGCAAGTGAGGGCACGCCAGTCCTGGAGATGTCCAGTTCTGGCTTACGTATTCAGTCCCACTACAGCTTTGCCTACCTGATGGCACGCCCAGTTCTACTGCAGCTCAATCTAACCAGCACCTGGGTCATCACAGGAGATATGCTGCACTGCTGAGGAACTAGGGAGACTCCCTCAAGATAGTTAGTGACTCCTACTGATCTTAGCCCAAGGAAAGCTGCAATATCACTGGCTTCTGTCACCTTGTACTTCATTGCATTAATCAACACCAAGTTATACTTAGAAAGTAAATTAATTGCTGAGAGTACTGCAATTTCTTACCTCACTCAGCTTAGCCCAGTTGAAGGATTTCAGTGGGTGTGAAGGCTGTGGGATAGACTTCTTCTTCAGGCTGGTGCCACTGCTGCTGAAGGTGGTTGTTGAAGTTGGTGGCATACCCATGCTGAAGAAAGGTGGTGCTCCTGGTGGGGGAGGAGGTCCTCCTGGTGGAGGCGGTGGAGCAGGAGGAGGGGGACAGCTGGAGAAAGGCAGAGGAGGTGGCAGTGGGGGCAAATTCTCAGACATGTGAGAAGAGGACAAAGCTAATGGGCCACCTGGAGGGGGAGGTGGGGGGGGTGGGAATGAAATGCTGCCCCCTTGCTGGAAAATAAAAAAAACACACAGAAAAAGAAAGCAAACAGTTTAAAGGCACAATAACTCCATATTGCCAGCTGATGTGATTTTATTACGAGTCTCAAAATATTTGATGTTTTCTTTAAAACCTCCTGCACTCAAAGCCATGCAATAAAGGGAGGAATCTCAGCTTTCATTTAAGAGAAAGTTTCAAGCCCTTGAAGTTGTGGAGAAGAGCTTGAAAAAAGGAATCATAAATGGCTCAGAAAAACAGAAAGCTAGTAAAAGAAGCCAAAATGTATTATTTTCTCCTTATGTATGAAAAAAGAGAAAAGTTCAATCTTATGAACTTTTGAACTCCTGGGTTTTAAACCTTAGGGTTTGAAATACTGAATACCTGTCATTAGGCCCCACTAATGCAAAGTGGGAGAGGGGAGGAAGGAATGAATCTGCTTTCTGTGGTGTCTAACTTCTCAGTGCCGTGTCCTGGTGAGTTGAGGCTCAGGCACACTGCTAGGACAGAAGGAGCACCAAGCAGGAAGGAGTAGCTGCAAATGTCACTTCTGCAGAGCTCCAAGGCAGTACAGATGCTCTTGAAGCATGACAGGAATCCTATTTCTTCACTAAATTTACTTTCAGATCTGGGAGTTTTCTCCTATTCCACTGAATTAACAACCACAACCATCCCACTCAGCAGTAAAAATTACGGCTTTGAGAAGGACACGTGTGACTCAGCAGCTCCTGCAAGGAAAGTGGCTGAGGAGAACGAATGGCACAGCCCATGTATTATCCATTCTATACCACCAGCTCAGGGATTTGGGTCTCAGCTAAAAACTGAGAAGCTTCTAAGTATTCATCTTTCTAGCTGACTAGACAGACTCTTTCTGTACCGACCATAGGAAGTGTTTCACTCATAATGTGCTTTTGTTCATCAGTCACTAGTTAGCAGACTTCAAACAAGGATGGGAAGAGTCCCAGTCTCATACCGAGAACTCATTAAGCTGAGCCACCAGTTCATTCATCTGGTCCCGGGTCTGGCGCAGCTCCAAGGATTCCTTCTGCAGCTTGTCCTTCATTTTGTTCAGTGTCTTCATCATTTCATCTTTCTCCTGGGTCTTTGTCTCACATTCCCGCTCCTTCTTCTCTAGCCTGCTCATCAGCTCGGCATGATCTAGAGGGAACAGGCAAGTAGGGTTGATGACATAAAGCTTATGAAGAGTTCCTGAAGGGATGCAGGTTATGCTGAAATAAAGCTGACAAATTTGTCAGTTCAACTGGGTATGTATGACGAGAGCAGGAAAAAGAAAACAAGAGTCTGACTGTCTTGACAGTGGTCTTCAGTGATCAAGACAGCAATGCCCGAGTTTCACTTACACTGTAAAATCACTTCATGTGAGGACTGAGGGAAGCCGCATCCTATGAACACGTAAACTGATTGCTATGAGACAAAATGTACTGGAGGGAACAAAGCAGGGTTTGTCCATGAAAGGAAAAGTTGTGCACAGTTCTGCTTTCTGCTGCCCTGTGGCTGAATCAGGATCAGTCTTGCCTCCTCTTTTGCTTTGCCAAGCACAGAGGATGTGCTCACCTTTCCGAAACTTCTCTGCCTGGTCCCTCCACTGCTTGACTTCATTTTCGTTCACCAGCCTGAAAGATGAAATCAGACCATTTAGACTTGTTCTGAGCTACCCACGCTGAAAGGCAAGTGGCCATTATGTGTAATGATCAGCAAAAGGCAACCTGGTGAATTTACATGTTTGTACAGGATCACACCAGTGGTCAGTCTGGTTCCAGATCCTGATCCTTTACTGTAGGCAACAGCTAACATAAATGTGATTGTTTGTTGCTCAAAGTCCTGAAAATGGATAAAGGACTGCCTGGGGAAAAAAATCCTGACATGTTCCCGTCTTCAGGTAATGCTCTCAAAATCATCATGTCTACTTATTTTGAAAGAGAGAAGCATCACTAAAATAATCATAGCTACTGTGGGTTACAAATTACCCCACTCTGAATATGAGACCAGATTGCCATATTTTTTTTCTACTTTCTGTGGTTCTATTTTTTCTTTCTTCCAAGGAGGGAGGATGCATATCTATTGGGTAATATATCAGTAACAACGCAATGCTCATATCTCATCCTGGCACAGCTATTTCCTATTACTGAAAGAAAATATGCAGGGCATGCTGGAGACTGATTAGATATGCAGAATGAGAAGTAGCTATGAAAGTAGAAAGGGAAGATCAGGCATGAGGTCTACTATGAAGTCTGGTACCCAGACAGACAGAAAGAGGTCAACACCAGTATATTTTTCCATGATGAGAAATCAGTTTTGATTTTGGCTCATGCCTGTAACAGGAGGAACTGTAAGATTTTTTAGTACAGGAGAATTTGGTTTCATATGAGGCTTATGTTCTATAAAATGCTCTTTTCAGTGGATAATTCAGAAGGGTAATGGGCCATGAATTACCTGCAGAGGCAGATGGATGGGATGAAGAGTCCAAAAGTTTGGCTAAAAAAGGACTGAGAACAGGGAAGTTGAGATGAGAGCCAGCTCATGTAGCTAGACTTCTCAAATGATGCATCCTATGGGAAAAAATAATGGTCGTGCCCTCAGCCAAGTCTGTAGGTGAGAGCATGCAGACATTTTATGAAGAGGTAAAGGGTTTTGTGTGCTGGTTGGGGGTTGCTTTTCACTATTTGAAATCTTTCTAAACTATGTGCTCATTAGTGAGGAATGAGATCTAAGTTGAGATGACCACATTTTATTTTTTTTTTAGAATCAGTGAAAGCTTTCATCAACATTCTGAATGAAAAAAGGCACATGAGGAAACCTTGTTATAATATCATGGGTATTTTTCCTTCTCTTCTAACCAGCTTAATATTTAACAGAAATTAGAAGCCAGAAGCAAGGACTTTGCTAGAAAATACTGTCTGGTTAAGATGTCATTAGAAGGAAACTATTTAGAAGACTAAGGAGGCAATGAGAAGCTGTGAGTTAAAATAAGAAACTCCTCAGATATGATATTTTATTTCCTAAGCACATGCATACTTATCATATACTTATACCTGCATAACTGAAACAAACGACAATAGTGCAGCTTACATTTTAATTATATTTTTTACATTGAAGTTTTCCAATGGAGCTATATCTGGATCATCTCCTCGTTCATCCTGAAGAACAATTTGTTGGAGTATTCTGTCCAACAGCTGCCACTGCTGGAAGTTTCCTCCATTTCTCTTATCTGCATGGAAAAAGATCAACCCATGAGAATTTCAGTTTCCATGTTAAAGTGCATAGATCTGCTAACAGACTGGCATTCTTTCCTTTCCACCTTCCATCTCAATCCTGTATGTAGAAAATCATAGAACACAAAGCCTAACATCAAACTGTTGCTAGCAGATTATTTAGAAACACCTGCCATATTGGAACAGCACATAACAGGCACGGGCAACTCTGCGCCTGATCTGCACATTCAGGCTGTGTAACCCTTTTGGCAGATTAACTCTAACTTGCACTTCAAATGCCTACAGAAGTGATTCCTTTGTGATAGCTGTTACTCAGTATTTTCTGGGGCTTGATGTTGGGGTTCTTTTTGGTATCTAGGTAACATCCTGACCAGGCACTATAGAAACAATCAGACTTTCTATCTGCATGTTCAGTTATCTGTGGGTCAATGAAATTCAACCGGCATGAAAAATTCATACAAACATGACAAAAAGTGTGGAGAGAAAGAACAGAAATTGAACCAAAAAGACTGATCCCATGGACATCAAACAGAAGATCCAGAGCAACGTAAAATTCACCTCAGCTCCTTGAGTTACATAACCTAGACTTTTAGATTCTTTAAAACTGTTCCACTACAATCCTGTCCTGGCCTAGTGGGATTTATCTCTTCTGCCACCAAAAATCCAGGTCAATACCTAAAGCTCAAGGACTGAATTAAAGAGTAACATCAAGGAGACCACCGGGACAAAAAACTGCTTTAATTTGTGCTTGGCAGTACTTGAATCTAATGAGTGCCTGAAAACATACCACATGACTTTCTGAAAAAGCACAACACAGTACATCTCCCTCATGTTCCCTTCTCAGTTTCACTGTTCAAATACAGCTGAAAGTAATGAAGACCAGCACCTGATAACTAAAATGATCAAGGCAGGCAGTTCTTTAGTGATCTTGCTATGCCTTTGCTCAGCTGCTACCCTCTGGAAATGCAACTGAACTATTATATTACAGTTAACAAGAAGATTCCTATCATTTCTCTTGAAGACAAATGCCAATTTTATTTTTCAGTTTGAGTTCAGGAGCTATCCACTGATGTGTTGCCATGAGATAGCAGCCTGAAGACTTACTGTGGAATTTCCCAGTGACAGAACAGCTTTCAGTACTGTATTGTTTCACCAGAAAAATTCCTCACTGCATTTTGTTAATATTCAAAATGGTATCTATTTCTGGGAATTCCCTGATCTAGAGCACAAGGGCTCTTTCTTTTTTAAATCTTCTAATTTCAAATCATTAAAAGCTCTGTCAGTGACTAACTGGAATGTCTCAGCTAGTTAATTTTATTTGCAAGTGCAGAGAGGTCAAGCTGCTGCTTTAAGTACTGTGACAAAATCTGCTGGATGGAGCCAGTGTAAGATACCAAGTCCCTTAGCCACTGCCAAGTTCTGAATGGAAGGCAAGGGCAGTGTGTGGCCTGGTATCACTGACCCTGTACCTAGACCAAAGCTTCACCCAGTTCTTGAATACCCCTTGCTCTGGAAAACTGTGATGTACTCACATGGCATCTGCAAGCAGTGCTGGAGGATGGATAACAAATAGGGATAGGCATCTGTGTGCTTCAATCTCTTCTTGATCAACTCAAACATCTGAGAGGCACTTTTTGTATCAATGTGGATCTGAAGTGAAAGAAAGTAGTGAAAGAACAAGTGAGAGAAAAACCATGCACAGTGAAAGCCTGACTAACTGTGAAAGATCTAATCAACACAGATACTGGCAAATTTCCAGCAACTGGACCTCTGTAGAGTCTCCTGCAATGTCCAGCTACAAGTTCCAGTGAGGAGCAGGAAAATGGGTCTTTGAGACCAGCATTGCCATCCCCAATCCACTATCGAAAAGATCCCCAAAGTAAAGGGCTAGAAAGGTGGGAGGCATGCAAAGCCAACATGAGCTGTTCCAGAGCAAGCAAAACATTTGAGTCCTAGAAAGTGGCGCCACAAATAGTAGAAACTAAGCAGAAAAGGGCTAGTTGTTCTGTATTTGTGTGTGTCAAGAGCTGGTCATGGAGAAAGAGGACACTATAACTATTTTGGACCCTACAGCCTCTTACTGTTGAGGCTAGAGGTTGTGGAAACTGTCCTTGTTCTATGCTCATCTAAAATCCACCCAATATAAAACACTGATCCCCTCCACAGGCTTTGAAGTGACAGTCTTCAAGAGCATTTCCTGTAATCTTGGGAAAAGCATCAGAGAAGAGCTGAGGCTTCACCCATAGTCCTGTAAAGGGAATGTCTGAAACTGGAATGCATCTGGATCATCAGGACTGAGAACAGAGAGCAGGGTTGAGAACCTCCTCCACTCCTGAACCTTCGGCCAAACAAAAGAAAGAAGTCTTTGTCAAAGACACTTGGCAGACGCCCTGTCTGTGATCATTGTTTTCATTGTTCACACATCACAGACCCCCTACTTGCTAAATAAGAAACAGTGAAAACAAGAGCACCAGCCACTCTCAGCACCCAAGTCAATCATTGTTTTCAGGGAACACAAAGGGAAGTTGCACCAAGCATCCAAAATGGATGTTCAGCTTTGACAAGTTCAGGTACTCCAGAGAAAAACTTACCAGGTCAAACCGTTTGGCAAGTTCCAGGTCATCTTCATTTCTGACCATCTCAAAGAAATCTAAGTGCCTAAGAGAAAACAGAAAACCAAAACAAACAAAACCTGCCAATGTTCATGGTATCATTCAGACTTAAACTAAGTGCGTCACTACAGAAACAGGAACACCTCATTTCCAGCTAGAATGCTTGGAAATTGGCAAACCTTTCTTACATGAAGTGCTGGGAAAGGTTTGCAAGGCAACGCTTAGGAGTCGGTCACAGGCCAAAAGGAATGTCTGACTGAGGTATACATGCTCTTTAATTCTTGTGCTAAATCATTGTGTTGAGGTAAGGCTGCTAAAAGTAAATATAAAATAGGAAAGGGATATTCTATTTGTGGTGAATGCAATGCCTGCAGTGATAATACATTTCTAAAAAGTCCATGCCATTCTTGTTAACCAGATATTACACCATTAACAAGTAGGTATTTTTACATGGTGGAGCAGAGATGCATTCAGTGGATTAGTTAAACAGCACAGCTCACAGCTGTCTTCACATTTGCCTATTGATGAGCACAGCAATATGTCTCTGTTGGGATTTGGGGGACCTAGTGAGAGACACATTGGACCATGGCATCTGGATTTCTCTTGCATGGAAACCAAAGCACAGCAGACAATGTGAAGAAAGGCAGTAGCACATCCCCCTGTATAGACCTGGCATATTATCTCTGTAGTCCAGAAGTATGTAATCCTTTCAAACCTCTGTGATCATTCTCACCACTGCAATTTGTACGATCCAAAAGTGCCTCTAAGCCCCTCCTAAACACTCCTGACCAAAGGAATAGGGCAGTCCTATTGCCTATAGGACAGATTCTCTTCTTGGTTATGATGTTGTAGATCAAAGATAACATTACTGGTTCCAGCTCTGCAGCAAACTGTAGACACATACAACTGAATGCAATCTCTCCCTGTGACATTAATACACAGGTATATGCCTCCACCTGCTCAAAGATGTGAGGCCACTCTTTATGACAGGCAGCTGGCGCTAACCTAATGCTTATGCAGAATCTCAGGCACATTACATTTGCCCCCAGGGATAGCTCTATCACCCTATAGCAGCTCCTGGCACTGGATGTTTGAGAAAATGGTGCCTTGAAAACTGCAGGCACAGAACTGATCCATAGGTTTTTCACCACGTGCTTTGGCAAACTTGACACTTCTATACAGGAAATACCAGATATCAGATACGTGTAAATCAGGCCTGCTCTGTAGGAAGGGGCTTGGAGTAGCAGAAAATAAGGGATAGCAGCATGTCAGCAGGTCAGTGCCTCTCCACAAAGCTTAATGTGGTCACAGGAGAAGGTAGACTGCCATGGCTGCCTGTTCTGACACCTTAAAATGGTTCATTTTTTTTAATCAAATGGATTTTACCAGGCTCCTCACTGGTTCATCAGTCTTTTAGCTTCTTGAAGCATCTCAGTCAAATTGTTCAGATTGTTTACTCCAAGTTTATTTCAGCATTTGTGAGGCGTTTAATTTAAGGTCATTAGCAGCTTCAATTATTGCGGCAAAACATGGAATTGCTAGTGGAGAAAACATTTATTACCCATATAACTCTTAACACAGTAATTTGAAGGTGCCATTCAGTGTTACATTTTGTGCAGTAGCAGAGCTGTTTGAAGATGCTCCCTATTATTCTCTCTTGCCCCCTTGCATCTCTACCCCTTCGCCCACCACAGGTCCCCTTCTGTCATAGTTGTGCCAGAGCCACTGTTTGTGAGGTTGTGGTACAATCTAGATCACAAAAAAGGCTGAACTTGAAAAACTTCGGAAACTTAGAACCTGCACTTTGAACACACATACTCAGTCTCAACGAAGTCAGTGAACTACTGGCTTCCCTTTCTCCTACCAGGACAGGCTTTTGTTCCTGTTATCAGTTTGGCTACAAGATAAAAAGAATTAGAAGAGTATCTTTTTTTATTTATTTCGCTTGCCATCTCCAGCTTAGAAGAAAAGCAATTCATGAAGTCCTTGCCACAGCCACTGCCGATTTAGTATGTATGTTTCCTACTTTATCTGCTGATTTTAATTTTAAGGGCAAATCTTCTTTTTATCTTTAAAGGGAGTCAGTTTTAGGAAGAGACATAGACAGCATTGTGCTTAAATCTGAAACTCAAATGGAGAAGAGTTTCTAAGAACTCTTCCTGATGATCAATAACTTTTCTCAGAAAATGTCTTACCTGTCCAGTGTGGCATTCTCATGTCCTCTTAGCTTGTCAATGACGGGTTGAATCCCCAGCATTAGAAACTCATATCGTAGGTGTAATCGGAACTCCAAATTGTCCTTTAAAAAGTGAGGGAAAACCAAGTTATTAGGTTCCAAAAGCTTTTAATCACATTTTAAAAAAATAAATAAATTGCTTAAAACCTCATTGCTTCCTTTTTTAATATCCTTTATCCTGACACAAAATTCACAGGATGATTAATTACAGTAAAGTAAGTAAAAGAAAAAAAAAAAAAAAAGCCTTTGCATGTTTCACTTAAAAATACACTCATTTACCAACAATGAATTCTGCAAACCCAGTCAGAAAGACAACACACTCCATGTTGTTCCACAAAGAACAAAAAGTATCAGTGTTTGTCTGGCTGCCCATTAGACATCTGCCTCCTGCTTACAGATGAACAGTACTGCAGTCTTCCTCCTAGTTTTTATGTTTATTTGCCATAAAATCACCATATACTCTGGCAATCTTGTCTATTGTGGTTTAACAAAAAACCAAAACCAAACAAACAAAAAAGCCAATGTAACAAAAGTAACACTTTTAATGAAACAAAAGTAGTTTGAAGTATTCTCCAGACTCAAAATAAAGTCTTGTTAATGAAAGAAAAACAACAAACAGTCTTTTCTGAAATGTCTCCCTTTGATGTTTTGAGTTTGGCTTTGAGACAAAACAACTTAACATTTAAAAATATTTCTGAAGGTAAACCAAAATGTTTTCTAAAAGGCTGAAACCAAAATGTAAATGCCTTGCAGATCTTTTTTTAAAAAAACCAACCCCAAAGCAATCATTTCAGTGTAAGTAGTCTATGTTACATTAGGAGAGGCTGGGAATGAAATGATGTAGAAAATATTATAAGACTGATATTAACAATTAAGCATTATTTTCCACAAACCATATCCACTCAGTAAGAGAAGATTTGTGACTTAATCTACTAGACATTTCCAAGGTTAATTAATTCAAACATAACATTTTAGAAGGAATTTCCAGGGCAGTGACTCACCTCACCAGCACCAGCATTCAGAACAGCATTGATAAAGGACATGATGGCAGTTTTGAGATTTACTTCATCTCGGTATCGCCCCATGCTTCGGTCTAGTTCATTCAACAATGTCTGAAACAGAAGATCAGGCTGGGTTAGGGGATATAATCTAATTTCTTGCACCATTTTGCATACTGTTTAAGGGACATGCCCACAGTCTTCTTTTGATTTGTTATATATCTGCTTAAAGAAATATTTTTTTCAGACAAGGTTGTTAGCAATTTTGTGTATGCCTCAATAAACAAATGAAGAATAGTGGTAGGACTAAAATGCCCACCTAATCCTAATTAAATGAAAAAAAAAAGTTGTTGTTTTTTTTAAACAAGCTATTATTTGAGAAAAGGCAGATGCCCTTTATAGTTCCTGTCAACATTATCTAAGAAAGCAGCCAAATTATATCCTTCTTCATCAGTTAACTGTATATGGTGAATATGACAGGGAGTTTATACATGCAGAAAAATAGCATCAGAGTCATACATCCTTTCTACTCACATCACAAGTAATTTTCACTGTTTTCTTGGATCTCAGTGGGACAGATTGCACTTATGTCTACAGGGGGAGAGAATTCTAAAGAGAAGCTGTCTTTTGAGGAATAAAATCTATACATGGACCTTGGAAGACTTCTTGTTCCTTCACGTACAACCATTTCACATGAAGCAGACAATTACCTACCTCTTTGTAAGCTCCTATTAGGGATTTGCAAATAACAGGAATATCCCCTGTGCATACAGCTCCAAAGCCCAAAGGTGAATTACACAGCTCTGCTGGAAGTGCCGTTAAACTCCAGTTTCCTTGCTACAGAATCATAGAATGGTTTGGGTTGGAAATGGCATTTAAAAACTGTCTAGTCCAACCCTCTTGCAACGGGCAATGACATCTTTCAACTAGATCAGGTTGCTTAAAGCCCCCTCCAGCCTGACCTTGAACACTTCCAGGGAGGAGGCACCTACAACTTCTCTGGGCAACCTGTTCCAGTGTCTCACCAATCCCCTCATTAAAAAAAAAAAAAAAAAAAAAAATTTTTCTGTTATCCAATCTAAATCTAGCCTCTTTAGTTTAAAACTATTACCCCTGGTTGTGATGCTACCGGCTGTGGTAAAAAGTCTTTCTCTGTCTTTCTTAAAAGCTCCCTTTATATATTGAAATGCTGCTATAACGTCTCCCTGGAAATTGTATGTCTCCCTATCAACTAAAGAGCAGGGTTATTTAGCACAGAAATGCTTTTAATCTAATCTTTACGTACTTACAAATATTTCACCATAATCTTGTGAACATCGGGAGATGAAGGAGAAAAAAGATTAGACAAATAATGTTGGTTGCCTGTACCTTATATGGCCTATTTAGGATTAATTCCACCTAAATATTTACCAAAGAGGCTGTATGTAGAAACTGATTAGCCATGAAAGCAACTCTACTTTTAGCTTTGTGCTGATGACCATGAATTTTCTCTTCAGGATCTTCTCTGATCAGTTCATAATTCCAAGGATGATTTTCCTTACTGGAAGAGTAACAAATTCCTCTTGAGATCTGCCAGTTCATAAGTACACTTCTCACTCCAGTGTTAATAATAAATGCCCCACACTCATCTATTTGTTTTTGCTGATGCACTAGAAAAGACAGAATTCTTTTTACTTTTCCCAAGAAGTTTTGGCCATAAAGGGAGAATGAAGACAAAAATAACTTTTTAGTGTTCAGCTCAGCATATCCATCTTAACAATATTTTGAAGCTATGATGCTGAGTAAGGAAGTTCATTTTCCTTTAGTCAGTCTTCTGTCCCTGGCTAGTGAAAATGTTCATTCATAGCAAAATTTTTTCTGTGCTAGTCATCGGTTTCTTAGGTCTGTCTTCTTTCCTGTAGAAAAAGCACATCACCATGGAGATATGCCTCAAAAAACACGGGGAATATCCTCCTGTGCATTCCCTAAGAGAAAGAATATCTTCCTGGTTTCATGCAAACCCTTTGTTTTTGTGTAAAAATGTTTTGATCTATCATATACTGCTACTGACAGCTTATATCTGAGCATAGTAGGTTCACTATCAAGCCAGCTTAAATTTCATAAACTCCTTTTTCTTGAATCTTCTAAACTGCCCAGCTGGCACTTGCAAATATCCCTACTCCTGGCATTTGAACTTCCATCACATCCATGATTTCTCAGTAGTTATATTATGGCCAAATACCAACTCTTTCCATTTGTTAGAAATGGGAATGAGTCTTACATAAAAATACATGAGATGTCCTACTGAGTCAAATTGATGGTCAGTTGAGTCCAGCATCCTATCTCTTGACAATGACAATAGGAAACTACTTATGAGGTCTTTAAATTCAGCAACAAACCCAACTCTTTAACTTGACAAATAAGCAGAAGCGAAATAAATGAGAGAATTTAGTTCTGTTACTGTCAGATTTGACACCGAAATCCAAAGCATATGTGTCTTCTTGGAATAATTTAAGTAGCCATTACTACAGAAGCATCAAAACCAAGGGTGATTTTGTTGCTTTTCTTCAGAGGCCTCATTCCTACCACATATTCTCACAGACTTTTATGAACATGCTAGACTCTGTGCAACAACATATCTGACACAGCATCCAGACATTTTGAAGGATGTTAACAAAAGTTTTCTATCCCCCATTTCAGAAGGCTGGATTAGGAGCAGAATGCAGTGCAGGCTGAGGCAAATTCAAAGCAAGAGAAACAAAAATTCTGGGTTGCACTAAGCTAACTGAAGAGCAGCACATCTTCACGTGATTGTTCAGCTCTAGAAGGAAATGCTAGAAATTCATGCAATTCCTAGATCAGAGTCTGCACCCAGACACCGAGGCCAAACTCCAATATCTCAAACACTTTGCAAATGGCTGCAGTTCAGGTCTTCACTTCAACATTTCCTGTGAAAAAGATTTCACCACACCTCTTGGCAGCCAGCTCTATGGCCCAACTGATCTTATGGTTGTAAAGGTTTTTCCTACTATTTAAGGAAAACTTTCTTCACTTAATCCCATTATTCCTCAATGCTGACATCCAGTAGGTTTCATTGAATCTACAGCAAACCTCAAAAGGCTTTGGATGAGCCTTGAGGGGAAGAAGGAAATCAAACGGGAATACAGGATTTTAATTTGTTCCTTGTTAGCTCCTCTAGTACCATTCCAAATTAATCAGATTTCTCCCTGCAGATTATGGTCTTATGGACAGTGTTTAACAGAAACCAGGCAAGGGGGCTCTGGAAGGAATGCTCCTAATCTCTACCTTTTCAACTGACAATATCCTTCACCCTCAAGCTTCAAAATTTCCAGCAGCATTAAGGAGAAAAAACAATAGTGTTTTGCCCAAAGCTGCCCAGTTAATATTTTCACCAGCAAGTAAAATCATCTCCATTCAGACAGTACCTAGCACCCAGGTTCTTTCAAGACTAAATGGAAAATTCCTTCTCCATCAGGGGTCCCCAGCTGGGTGGGTGTTTTAAACAGCAAATTAGGCTGGAAGGGTGCTGGAACATCCAAACAATACTTTTCTGGGCCAATACAACATTATGACTTTGCAACATTAGTTTGATGGAGAATGTGTCATATTAAAAAGTACATGTTACAATGTTATAACACAATGCATTCATTCCACAGGAGAAATGAGGGGAAGCAGCAAACATAACGATAATCAGAAACACAACAGTTTAGGGAAGGTTGAGAGATTCCATCTTCAGAAGGAAAGCACCTTAGAAATTCAAGACAAATCAACATTTTCACAGCCACACAGTGAGCCAGTGACAGAATTACACTAGCACTGATTCTGGATACATCAGATAGAAAAGAATCCCAGCAAGGACATCAAGGGCTCATCTTCCTAATTCCACATTTCTGCTTTGAGAGTTTATTGTCTTGCTTTCCAATGTTTTCTTTCATGTCTCTTGTTTAAGGGGCAGAGTAGAATTTGTAGGCAATGAAGCATATTTCAGACAAAAATTGGATGAAGAAAAGAGAGCTTTTCCAGATTGCCTCAGGAAGGAGATTGAAGGCATGCCTTTATATTATTGTGGTATTTGAGTAAAGATGGAATATTGCTCCAAAGAGAACAGTTTTCAAGGAATATCTTAAAAAAGGAACTGCAGCTTGCCTGTTGGACATCAAAGGGAGAGTTATTCCAGGCAGAAGGGCAGCATGAAAGAAGGGACAAAGATTAAAGCAGGCAAAGGGATCAGCTCAGGTAAGAAGTTGCAGCAAATGTGAGAAAATAAGAATAGCCATGATATAACTTCAGACAAAAAGTATAGAATCTTGTTGCAAGTGCCAAGACAAAGATGATCCCAACAGACCTGCGAACACACTGAACAGGGGGGATATAGGGTAAAATTGTAGTACTAAAAGGCATTTGATAGAAGTCTCAACAAAGAAAAGTAAATTCAGGAGAGTCTCCTATAGCTTTAAAGTTACTCCTCTCTGAAGTTTAGGATTAGATTGATAATTGCAGTCAGTAGATGAAATACAGGAAATTTAGAAAGAAGCAACATTTTACATCTGATTTTCCACTCGAGCAAAATATGAAATTTTGTTAATGAAATAGTCCTTCATATTAATGAAATTTCTACCTACATTTTCCATTAACTTCAATTAAAAAAATTAATATATCAAAAAGCAAGGCCATCCTTTCCAAAGGATTATTGGTGGTCTTCAGTTGGTATGAGCTGGTGGAATTTAGTTAAATTAATTAGGATTGCAAGTGTTTACATCACTCAAGCATCTCATTGTAATTTGGATTTTGACTTTAGAGACACTGTTATAAAACTGAAAATTTTCTATTGAAATAGTAGGAGTTATAGCAGGACAGAGCCAATACAACTTTAGTAAGAACCAAATCTTAAGTCTCAGCTTTTCTTCTCTACTAATTCAGCAGTTGCAGGGTCCTCTGACTACTTTTGGCTAGATGTGTCAGGTAGCAAGAGTTGTGCTTAGAACACTGAAGAATCTCTCCAGATATATGCAAAGTCTGGGTTACAAAGATTACACTGAGGATTAGGAAAAACTAAAAAAGGCTTTCACTGGCTTTCATAATATACTACATCTTTGAAGTTTACAGTAAAGTTA